AAAAAATTTTTAGCAAAAAAAACCATTCAATTCTAAATTTTGTGTTTCGTATAATATAGTCAAATGTGAAATATAGGAAAAATTCGTATACTTTTGTGAGGTAATTTCATTTAAGTAAATGTGAATTTTTAAAGTTTTAAATATCGTGATATCAAAGCTAAGGACTGTCTAGACAATATAACAAATTAATTTATTAATTTTGCACACAGAATAAATTATTAAATTTGGTTTCGTTTCCTATTATACCTAAATTCGAATACTTATGAGAGACACTGTATATCAATGTTTTAGTATATTGTTCTACTTCGTTGAAGGATATTTATTTAATTAATTTGTTTTGCACCGACGAAATTGGTCTTTAAATTACTTTAGAAAAATGTTTCTACTACTATTGCTATATAAGTAATGACGAATGCAGTGGGTGCTAAGTATTTAATTGAGTAATTTTAGAGTTTTTTCTTTACTTTTTTTCGATTAGCCGATGAACGGTTAAAAGCTTGAATAACCTATTAGAAATCATATTTGTTCTAAGACTCAACTTCGTCCTCAAAAAGTTCTCTTTTTACTTATATTTATATCTTTGTATAATTAAATGTAGAAATTAAAAGAATCCTTAGCAAAGTTATAATTAATACACCTTAAGAAATATTTCTCTTACTCCACCTGAATAAACTTTTTGTTAAATAAACCAACTAACTATATATGCATGTACATATATTGTACAATTATTTGCTTTAGTTTTCGTTTGAGTTGTGCTGGTCAAAGAAACTTTTCTCTTCCAAACTTCTGAACAGATTATTTCCTGCTTTCATAAACTCATATAAATAGTACAACAACTATATAGTTTACCCTCAATATAGGGTGTTCTAAAAATTCTTTTGTTAGTAGAAAATGCCGCAAGTACTATTTTTGTTTTCTAGCAAAAAAAAAAAAAAAACAAGAAGCGAATCTACTATAAAGGAAATAATTTTCTTCCCCTAATAAATAAAATAGTTTTTAATCTGTGTATGTATGTTAGTTTTATGTTAAAATACAAACAATAACAAAAACTGCGAAACAAAAAATCGACAAGAAAATAAAAAGCGATAAAATAATCAATAAAAGAAAAATAAAAAAGTATTAAATCCCCCTTTTTTTGTTATTTTTATTTAAACAAACTTTTTACATTTAATTATGTGAGAGTTGTTTCAAGTACACATAAGGATAATATCCTTAGAGCGTATATATGTTTGTATGTATATACATTGTATGTCTGTATTGGCTTGTTGTTGTTTTAAGTCGAGAAGGTGTATTTGTTTTAATATAACTTTGTTTTAAACGTGTTTCTGTTGTTCTTATTTGTATTTTTGTTTGTTTTGTTTACCTTTGTCCATATTGTTGTTGTTCTTGCTGGCTGTTGGGATGCTACTGTTATGTTAGTTTAGTTATTGTTGTTTATTTTCATATTGTCCAAGTTGCTGTTGTTTATTTATAGATTACAATGGCGTAAATAACAATTAACATGCACGTGTTTGTTCATGCTTTACATACTGAGAGTTAGTCAGATAGTATAATTGTGTGTGTATTATAAAAGTGTTTATTTAGTTTACAAAAAAACATAAAATTCAATTTTTTCCTTTTTTAGATTTGCATATTTTTTGGCATATAAAATATTTGCTGATGCCTTTAACTATTTAATCAATTCATTTAGTTTAATAAATTTTGATTTATTTACACAAACTATATACGGGGATTTAAGCAAATATTTGTTTTTTTTGCTCCCAAATACTTAATGAAATGCAGTTTAATTTGAATTTATTTTATGGATTTTTTGCACATATTTTTTGCGTAACTAACAGATTTATTGAAATAAAATTAAACAAAAAGAATACATTAAATTCAACGTAAAAGTTATTTAATATTTCAAATATTAATAACGTTTAGGAGATTATTGTAAGGTATTAGATTGCATGAAATATTTGGTTATTAAAAACATGTTTGAAAATTGAATAATTAATATAGAGCGGAATGATGGCGGCCAAAGAAGTAAACTTGCACCCGACTAGAACTGAACTAGAACTGAACTAGAACTGAACTAGAACTGAACTAGAACTGAACTAGAACTAAACTAGAACTGAACTAGAACTGAACTAGAACTGAACTAGAACTGAACTAGAACTGAACTAGAAAAAACTGAACTAGAACTGAACTAGAACTGAACTAGAACTGAACTAGAACTGAACTAGAACTGAACTAGAACTGAACTAGAACTGAACTAGAACTGAACTAGAACTGAACTAGAACTGAACTAGAACTGAACTAGAACTGAACTAGAACTGAACTAGAACTGAACTAGAACTGAACTAGAACTGAACTAGAACTGAACTAGAACTGAACTAGAACTGAACTAGAACTGAACTAGAACTGAACTAGAACTGAACTAGAACTGAACTAGAACTGAACTAGAACTGAACTAGAACTGAACTAGAACTGAACTAGAACTGAACTAGAACTGAACTAGAACTGAACTAGAACTGAACTAGAACTGAACTAGAACTGAACTAGAACTGAACTAGAACTGAACTAGAACTGACTAGAACTGAACTAGAACTGAACTAGAACTGAACTAGAACTGAACTAGAACTGAACTAGAACTGAACTAGAACTGAACTAGAACTGAACTAGAACTGAACTAGAACTGAACTAGAACTGAACTAGAACGAACTAGAACTGAACTAGAACTGAACTAGAACTGAACTAGACTGAACTAGAACTGAACTAGAACTGAACTAGAACTGAACTAGAACTGAACTAGAACTGAACTAGAACTGAACTAGAACTGAACTAGAACTGAACTAGAACTGAACTAGAACTGAACTAGAACTGAACTAGAACTGAACTAGAACTGAACTAGAACTGAACTAGAACTGAACTAGAACTGAACTAGAACTGAACTAGAACTGAACTAGAACTGAACTAGAACTGAACTAGAACTGAACTAGAACTGAACTAGAACTGAACTAGAACTGAACTAGAACTGAACTAGAACTGAACTAGAACTGAACTAGAACTGAACTAGAACTGAACTAGAACTGAACTAGAACTGAACTAGAACTGAACTAGAACTGAACTAGAACTGAACTAACTGAACTAGAACTGAACTAGAACTGAACTAGAACTGAACTAGAACTGAACTAGAACTGAACTAGAACTAGAACTGAACTAGAACTGAACTAGAACTGAACTAGAACTGAACTAGAACTGAACTAGAACTGAACTAGAACTGAACTAGAACTGAACTAGAACTGAACTAGAACTGAACTAGAACTGAACTAGAACTGAACTAGAACTGAACTAGAAACTGAACTAGAACTGAACTAGAACTGAACTAGAACTGAACTAGAACTGAACTAGAACTGAACTAGAACTGAACTAGAACTGAACTAGAACTGAACTAGAACTGAACTAGAACTGAACTAGAACTGAACTAGAACTGTGAACTAGACCTTGAACTAGAATGAACTAGAACTGAACTAGAACTGAACTAGAATTGAACTAGAACTGAACTAGAACTGAACTAGAACTGAACTAGAACTGAACAAGAACTAAACTAGAACTGAAAAAATAAAATTTCAGTTGAATTATGATAAAAGATAGATAAACAACAGTTTTTTTTAAATTAAAAAACTAAAGTAAATGAAATTCGAGATTTGCCATTATCATCTTTACAAAGTTGTCACTTTTGAAATGCCTCCATTATTATTACATAAATCATTGACTTCTTATTAGAAATTATAAACCTAAATATTTGTATTATTAGCTTCCCAAAAGAAACTAACTAAATCCAATTAAGCGTATAATTGTAAATAAACCATAAATTCTTTTTGACACTGAAAACACTTAACAGTTGGCCATTGGCAAATAAAGATAATCCTTTGAATTTCTTTCATTGGTTTCTATAATATAGAGGAATACTAATATTTCTATAAAAGAGCAACAAATACACATTAAGTTGTTTATACAGAAAAGGAAAAAAAAAAAAACTAATTTTTGAAAACATAAACGGTTTTAACCCAGCAATACAAAAGAAATACCTCTCAAACAAACATACATCATCTCACAAAAAAAAGGGGATAAAACTGTCTGACCATTCATGTTAACATTAATTGACAATTGATTACAATCAATTGGGTTGACAAGCCAACCAACACCAAACAGCACCACCCATTCGACAACTGAAATCAAAGAAAATACCATAAAAAAGATTGAATAAATATACGGAAAAAGATGAAACGCGGAACTAAAGAAAAACAAACAACAGTGTATGACAGAAAATGTACTTAAATACACGCTAAATGCGTTGAATTAAAGGATCAGACAGATAACAACTATAAAACAACAATAAACCAAACGGGGAAAAAAAATATTGGAAAAAGAACGACAACACAAGCCTTTTTAGCTTAAGTAAATGTGTAGGATTTTTTGTTTGCTTCTCTAGCAAACAGTTAAAGGTCCTGATGATGTTGTGTTGTTGAACATAAATTTTAAGGGTCTCCACATAAAAAAAACAACAAAAAATACGTTAAATAAATAATAAAAAATATCAACAGGATGTTAAGAGTGTAAGAAAAGAGTAACAAAAATAGCTTAAGAGTAACATTCGGAGTTAACTATTTCTTGTAGTCATGGTTGGCATAAGCTTTTCATTCATATTTTCTTTTAATTCGGACTAAAAGTTGGACATGCGCTTGGTTAACTTGATTTTAGGAGTTTTAAAGAAATTTCTGTTTTGATTGGGAATATAATTTAATGTTCAAGGGTTCTTAGATTCAGTTTAATTTTGGATGTTTTTAAAAGCGGTTGTTACTAAAATTAAACGCCAACATAATACGAGAGTGTTGATATAATTTTATATAAAAAAAAGAAAAATTATATTCTTTAGTTTCCAAAAGATACTAAAATTTTTAAGAAAAAAGTTTTCGCAAAATAAAAAAAAATAAGCCGGTTAGTTAAAGCTTAAGCAAAATGCATTAACATTTTCTTGTTTTAAGAAGAATGTTGAAAAATTAAAAAATAATCTTAAGTAAAGAGATAATTGAAGTTAATGAAAATTGTTTCAAAGAATTTTTGTAAAAAAAAAAAAATATTAAAGTTGTAACTTTAATCCTTATATTTATTTTTTTGTTGGTGATATTTAGGGATTTTTTTCTACGACATTGAGTTGTTAATTTTGTAGGTTTTGTCTTTTGCAATTGGATTATGGCTAAGAGCTTAATGGTAAAGTTTTTACTTTTTTTATTTTAATAATTGTTGGTCATAATAGTTTAAGTGCTTTTAAATAGTTATTTAATTAATTTAATCGGAAAAAAATGCTTAAACTTCTTTACAAAAGAATATTATGACACAGTTTGGGAAAAGTTTAATAGTTTTAAACAAAATCAAGTATTAATACAAAAGAATAAATTTGGTAAAATATAATCCTTTGTTTATGAAACATTTATAGTTATTTATTATAGATTTTGTTCAATAGCTTTATTTATACAATTTTGAAAAAGTGAATTTTATTTTTTTTTTAATTAAATTAACTATGTTTCTCTAAAATATATAAATATATATAAAGAGATGCTGGAACACGTTAGAATATTCACAGAAAAAACCAAAAAAGACATTCTGAACTAAATAATTTACTAGATGGAATTATCTGGTTACAATACAATGTACACAACATCAACACCACTCCACAACCCCCCTCTCATTTGCAAAAAAGAAAGATTTTGATAATACTTTTGTAATAAATAGGCCCACAAAAATTTACCAATATATTCGATTCCATGTCGATCTAAACATGTCGATCTGTCTGAAGGTTTGTATGTACATTAGGATGGCCCCAAAATGGAAGTTGCTGATGGTCCCATCGAAAATGAAAACTTAGTTCATTCTAAGATACAATTTTTTAAAATTTTTGTCCTAACGTCAATATTTGGTGAGCGGGATCAAATGATAAAAAGGTCCTTTTTTAAGGTTTTTATGATTTTTATCATATTTCTTGCAAATATACCATATGCAAATGTAGTATCATATGAAAGGTCTTTGCGAGACGATTTCAATGACATAACACAATTTTGTATACAACTCCAAAATTATTACAAATGTCGTAATTTTTCGAAACTCGATATGTTTTGTAATTTTATTTACATATTTTTAATTCTATGAATTTTGAAAAACGGAAAAACCCGTTTCCGTAGATTTTATTGAGGAATATTATGTATTAATTTCAAGGAATTATATTAAATTCATCTGTGTTAAAATGTAAAAAAACTGAAAATTTCCCGAAAAATTAGAAAATGTCGATTACTTTTGCTCTTACACAAACATTTCTAATATGGAACTTAAAGCATCTCTCAAGAACCTTTCTAATGGTATCAATATTTTATATCTTTCCTTTGGAAGAAATATGAAAAAAATCAAAAAAACCTCAAAAAGGACATTTTTATCCTTTAATCCAGCTCACGAAATATTGACTCCAGGAAAAAAATTTTGAGAAATGGTATCTTAGAATCAATTGAACTTTAATTTTAGTTGGAAACATTGACACTTTATTTTTCCTCCATACGGTTGAAAACAAGAACAACCTTTAGCATATGTTTATGTTGGAACGGTACTGGAACTAGTTCTTCAATCAATGATTTTTGTTCGAATTTGTCAATCTCGGAACTAGTTCTTGGGAAGCTTGAGAGATAATTCGGTACAATTCAATGAGGGATCTTTTTACATCTTTATAATTCAGTAGCATACATAAATATCGAATGCGGGCTCTATAAGATACTAACATTGTCAATTAAATTAATGCTTGTCGAAATAAGACTTCTAAATATTTCGTTATAAAACAGCACTGTGACGTATAAGTATTGAAATATCACTCATCCGCCTTGTGGTACCAATAGAACTACAAATCGTCTTTGAAAATATGAAAAAAAAAAAAAAATATTTTTGCAATTATTTAATCTAAAAGAATGATTGTTCAAATAATCGAATTAAATATAACACTATACACCAGCCAGCAGGTTTATCAGTCTGGAAGTCAAGGCTTCGATTCCCACTAGAGACTGTTTTACTTAATTCCTCTATGAAGAGGTAAATTAGTTTTTAGAGAAGAGGACTTAATTTGATGAAAGTTTTCAAAACTATTGTCTTTTGATTTAATACAAAAATTTGATCCCCACTTACGATTATAACAAAGTATAAGGAACATGTAAATAAGTATCAGAATATATAAAGAACTACATATACTATGTGGCGTATACGTGCTGAAATAACAATCATACGTGATAGTGGTTTACATGGTAATTATGTTAAGTAGAGTCATTAGGACTACGTTTTGACAAAATTACACCTTTCGTCAGATATATCGTAGTGCTTATTAATAGGGTATTAGGCCCAGCATGTAATGTATATTCCCAGGTTCTATTCCTTTTTAACATGGAATGTGTTAATCATTTTTATCCCTCTTCTTGCAATTCGTTAAAAGGCTGCCCCAGCTAAATCGAACGTTTGACTTTATCTCATTGCCCAGTTATTACTGTCAGAAACTTATATGTATTCTGCCAATTTCGGGTTATAATTTGGCTGGTGCATTTCTCATTGACAGTAGGTCAGGTCAGATTAGCTTAACCTCTCTACATGTACTCAAGTATTCCATACACTTTTAGCCTTTTTAAGGAAAGAACCTGAAGATACTACTTTGTCAGTACTCATATGTGTCACGTTAACAACAGAAAGCAAACAAATTTATATGAAATGCATCAATTGCAGTCCAGCCAATAGCAATACAAACAATAGACTATTTAATTCAAAGCAATTGACTGATCTGTAGCCTACTCTGTTATCTGAATCTCTCTACATGTGTTCAGAACAGTCCATCCACTTTCAGCCTTTTATAGAAAGAACTTGAAGATACTAAATACTTTTAGTAAATCCCAATGGAGTTGCTAATACAACTGCAAATGAAACTTAAAAGGTTTTATTTTTCAGATAAGGAAAATTTTTTAAAAAGATATTTATTAATTACAATATATTCAGCACATATGCTAAAAAGCTTAAGGAGTCCTTTTAATATCACTAACCTTTAAAGAAACTGTAATTTCATTATTTACAATACCAACCCAAACTTCTGAGTCATGCAATTGTTAAATTTAACTTAATAAAAGAACAACAAAAACACATATTTTATATAATTTCATTTCTTTTTTACCTTTTCTATCTAGAGTACAAGAAAATACAGTCAATTTCCCATGTGACAGTTCTCATATTAAATAATTCGTAATAAAAATGTATTAAAAAAAACACTACTTTCCACATTGTGGCAGGGTCTGGTGTTTATTTGTGAATTTGTTGTACAACTGTGTATATAAGATCTCGTGTATATTTAATGTGCTTATGCCAGAAAATGTGTATAAAACTATTGAAACACGAAAAATATGCAGTTAAATTGTGGTGGTAAATTGTAGAGTAAAGTGGCAGTAACTGAAAACAGCTACAACCACAACTACAATGGCAAACTAAATGTTAAAACGACAAACTAATTTAAATAAATAATAAAAAAAACCGACCAGAGGAGTGGTTAAGCAGCAACCGCAGGCAATAGTTTATGACACAAAAAACAAAAATCAATAAAAATAATTACAGTTTTATAATAGAAAATACAAAAACAAGTACAATACAACAACTATAATATAGAAAAGTATACTGGAAAAAAGTAAATAAAATAAAACACGTCATGTTTAAATAAAAAAAACGCCAGTTATAACAAATACGAAAAAAAATCAATCAAACTAAATACACAGACAAAATAAGAAACGGAAAGAGGAAAAAGGAAATATTAAGAAAAATTTAAGGTAAATAATCGTTATCGACATCATCATTTTGATGATGATTCACATCATTTAAAAAGTTTGTTACACAGTCATCATTATTTTTTTCGGCTAAAAGTTAATGAATATAAACAGCTAGCAGAACGAAAACAACAACAACAACAACAATTTTAACAAAATCAAAAGCAACAAAATCTTCTTCACAGTTGGCTAAAAGAAAAACCAAAAACAAAAAAAAAAAAAAATCTATAAATTTTTATTATTAATGTCTTTCTAAATATTTTCTTCGTGTGCGTCTTCAGTTTCTCAATGTATTTAAGCGGGCGAGTTGCTATCTAAACGTTTCAAGTTAATGTGTCTGTGTTTGTGTTTTTATTTATAACCAAAAAAAAAAGTTTATGAAATTAAAAATACATTATTTCAAGCTATAACATATTGTTGTGGTGGTTATTATTGAAAGTTGAGAAAAAAAGTTATAAAACGTCGAAAGAAATAACGAAAAAGAAACAAATAATAAGCAAATAAAGTCAAAAGAAAAAAAACCTACTACTAACAGCCTTTATAAGTAACAAATGTGTAAAATATTCATATTGAAAGTGTGCCGTAAATATTGAACCAATCATTGTTATGTTAATAAATTCAATGAAAATATAATTTATTGTCTGCTGTTGCCAGTCCTTCTTTTCATGCTGAAGTGCAGACAAGGTTTTCTTTGGAAAAGTGCGTAGAGGAATTTTTGGTAAGTGAAATTGCTTTTCTTTGTGTTTAAGTTTATTATCACAGACGTATGAGTGTTATTGATTGTCAAGGTTAATTTGTTAGTACTCATACGTATTGTGTATAAAAACAGGTTTTTGAAAACGAAAAGATTTTGTATGAAATTAGAAATTTAATATTACAATTATTTACTGTTAAACAGACTTGATTACCTGCTACGGTCCAGTCTAAAGCCTCTTCTACAGCCAAATCTCTATATACCAAATAATAGACTATTTTATTCCAAGCTATAGAGAGATGTGTAGTCTAGACTGTAAAACTGTTTTACCGTCCCGAATATGGGCTTTTCCTTATTTTATACTGGCAAATAGTCAAAACCATAGACTACTATAAAGTCAATAGTCCTTAGTTAAGACTATAGACTACTCTATAGTCAAGACTATAGACTTCTCTATAGTTAAGACTATGGACTACTTATTAGACATGAATATAGACAACGCTTTATTTAATAATATGGACTACTTTACAGTTAAGACTATGGACTATTCTATAGTCAAGACTATGAACTACTCTATAGTCAAGACTGTAGACTATAGTCTACTATACTCGTAAGGCTATGGACTAATCTATAGTCAAAGCTATAGATTATTCTATATCCAAGACTGTAGACTACTCTGTAGTCAAGACTATAGACTACTCTATAGTTAAGACTATGGACTACTCTATAGTCAAGACAATAGACTACTCTATGGTAAAGACAATTGACTACTCTATGGTAAAGACAATTGACAACTCTATAGTCAAGACTGTAGACTACTCTATAGTCAAGACAATAGACTACTCTATAGTCAAGACTGTAGACTACTCTATAGTCAAGACTATAGACTACTCCATAGTCAAGACAATAGACTACTCTATAGTCAAGACATTAGACTACTCTTCAGTCAAGACTGTAGACTAATCTATAGTGAAGACTGTAGACTACTCTGTAGTCAAGACTATAGACTACTCTATAAGTAAGAATACGGACTACTCTATAGTCAGGCTATATATTACTCTATAGTCAAGACTGTAGACTACTCTGTAGTTAAGACTATAGACTACTCTATAGTTAAGAATACGGACTACTCTATAGTCAGGCTATATATTACTCTATAGTCAAGACTGTAGACTACTCTGTAGTCAAGACTATAGACTACTCTATAGTTAAGACTATGGACTACTATATAGTCATGACTATAGACAACTCTTTAATTAATAGTATGGACTACTTTATAGTCAAGGCTATGGACTGCTTTACAGTTAAGACTATAGGCTACTCTATAGTCAAGACTATAGACTACTCTATAGTCACGACTATAGACTGCTCTATAGTCAATACTAAAGGCTACTCTATAGTCAAGACTATAGACTACTCTATAGTCAAGACTGTAGACTACTCTATAGTCAAGACTGTAGACTACACTATAGTCAAGACTATAGACTACTCTATAGTCAAGACAATACACTACTCTATGGTCAAGATTATAGACTACTCTATGGTCAAGACTATAGACTACTCCATAGTCAAGACTATATACTGCTCCATAGTCAAGACAATAGACTACTCTACAGTCAAGACTGTAGACTACTCTATAGTCAAGACTGTAGACTACTCTGTAGTCAAGACTATAGACTACTTTGTAGTTAAGAATATGGTATATTACTCTATAGTCAAGACTGTAGACTACTCTGTAGACTACTCTATAGTTAAGACTATGGACTACTATATAGTCATGACTATAGACAACTCTTTAGTTAATAATATGGACTACTCTACAGTCAAGGCTATGGACTACTTTACAGTTAAGACTATAGGCTACTCTATATTCAAGACTATAGGCTACTCTATAGTCAAGTCTATAGACTACTCTATAGTCAAGACTATAGACTACTCTATAGTCAAGACTAAAGGCTACTCTATAGTCAAGACTATAGACTACTCTATAGTCAAGATTGTAGACTACTCTATAGTCAAGACTATAGACTACTCTATAGTCAAGACTATAGACTACTCTATAGTCAAGACTATAGACTACTCTATAATCAAGACTGTAGACTACTCTATAGTCAAGACTGTAGACTATAGACTACTCTACTCGTAAGGCTATGGACTACTCTATAGTCAAAGCTATAGATTACTCTATATCCAAAACTGTAGACTACTCTGTAGTCTAGACTATAGACTACTCTATAGTTAAGAGTGTAGACTACTCTATAGTAAAAACTATAGAAAAAAACTACTCTATAGCCAAGACAATAGACTATTATATAATCAAGACTGTAGATCACTCTCTAGTCAAGATTATAAACTACTCAATAGTTAAGACTCTATAGTCAAGGCAATAGATTACTCTATAGAAAGAAATAGACTAATCAGTAGTTAAGACTACAAACTATTCTATAGTTAAGATCTATAATCATTACTTTAGACTACTCTATAGTCAAGATTATAGACTCCTCTTTTGTCAAAACTATAGACCATTCTATAGTGAATTTAATAGACTTCTCAAAAACCAAGCCTATAAGCTACTCAACAGTTAAGACTTCATGGTCGAGACTATAGACTTCTTCATGGTCAAGACTATAGATTACTTCATGGTCAAGACTATGAACTATTCTAAATTCAATAGTAAAGACCACCTACATTCAAAGCTATAGACAGTTCTTTATAGTCAGAACTTAATACTTATTACAAAGCATAGAATTTAAAAAATTGTCTAAACTATACACTGTTTTATAGTCAAGACAATAGGTTGATCTATAGTCAGATTGTAGGCTTTCATATTCAAAAATATATACATTTTTTTTGAGCCAAAAATTTTAAAATCATTTTATCATAAAAATATGCAAATGACAGTCATAAAATATAGGATAATTAATTGTTTTAAGATAATTAGCTTTCAAAAAATTGCCCTTTATTAAAACTTATAATTTCAGAGTGACATTTAACCTGCCATTAAATGCAGTTATTTTAAATGTCATACATACAAGCATATATTCCTAAAAATAGTGAAAAATTAACAGTAAAAACAACAAAAAGCATAAATATATTATGCGATAATGTCAACTATACACATGTCATATTGCCTTTTAATTGTTCGCTCATAAAGTGGATAAAAAAAAATAAAAGGAAAACTTTTACAATTTTAACTTAAAAAAATAGAGAAACAACAGCAAAAAACTGTTAAGCTTTAAAAATATAAATACGTAAACATATGTATAAAAAATTATCATCCTTACATATAGCCAAATGATAATAGCAGGAAAAGTAGCATTTTACTCGTAACACATGAAGCACTTTTACTTCAACTAAGGACACTTAACATGAAAATACATATACACACAAGCATATGTGTCTGTAAGTGTGTTTTACAAACACACTTTCTTACTTATACACCCACATTTACTCTTTTACTTGACAAAAAACATACTTATATTTGGTATGGAGAAAAAAAAATATAAATAATTGCATATGCAACAAGGATAATATTTTTATTGTCTTTGTTATTGTTCTTCTACAGCTGATTCCTCATCATTTATAGCACTCCTTGTTCCTTGTCATGTCTTCATTATTATGTGCTACTCACCCTCACCATCATCATCTGCACTTTCAACACCATAGACAGTCAGTACTGTCTCGCTGTCAATGCTGTGTTATTTGCTTTTCTTTCAAATAAAAATAGAATGTAAGAAGAAAACTTGCAAAACCAACATGCTTTTTCTCACTTTCTGCATAATTTGCGTGCATTATGTATGAGTTTCTAGGAAAAATGTGCGAGAGTCCGAAGAAGAGGTTTAGCAAAATTATAACAGATTATTTATTGAGTTAAAAAAATTTTTCAGAAATTTAAATATGTATATGCTTACTCTTAGTCAGGACTATATTGAAAGACTACACTAGCATCTAGCGAAAAACTAGGATCGAGTTCTATAGTCCAGACTATAGTCTGTTCTATAGTCCAGACTATATTCTGTTCTATAGTCCAGACTATAGTCTGTTCTATAGTCCAGACTATATTCTGTTCTATAGTCCAGACTATAGTCTGTTCCATAGTCCAGACTATAGTCTGTTCCATAGTCCAGACTATAGTCTGTTCCATAGTCCAGACTATAGTCTGTTCTAAAGTATGTTCAGTAGTCCAGACTATAGTCTGCTCTATAGACCAGACTATAATTTATTCTGTAGTCCAGACAATAGTATATTCTATAGTGCAGACTATAGTCTGTTTACTCTAGTCCAAACTATAGTCTGTTCTATAGTCCAAACTATAGTCTGTTCTATAGTCCAGACTATAGTCTGTTCTATAGTCCAGACTATAGTCTGTTCTATAGTCCAGACTATAGTCTGTTCTATAGTCCAGACTATAGTCTGTTCTATAGTCCAGACTATAGTCTGTTCTATAGTCCAGACTATAGTCTGTTCTATAGTCCAGACTATAGTCTGTTCTATAGTCCAGACTATAGTCTGTTCTATAGTCCAGACTATAGTCTGTTCTATAGTCCAGACTATAGTCTGTTCTATAGTCCAGACTATAGTCTGTTCTATAGTCCAGACTATAGTCTGTTCTATAGTCCAGACTATAGTCTGTTCTATAGTCCAGACTATAGTCTGTTCTATAGTCCAGACTATAGTCTGTTCTATAGTCCAGACTATAGTCTGTTCTATAGTCCAGACTATAGTCTGTTCTATAGTCCAGACTATAGTCTGTTCTACAGTCCAGACTATAGTCTGTTCTATAGTCCAGACTATAGTCTGTTCTATAGTCCAGACTATAGTCTGTTCTATAGTCCAGATTATAGTCTGTTCTATAGTCCAGACTATAGTCTGTTCTATAGTCTGTTCTATATTCCAGACTATAGTCTGTTCTATATTCCAGACTATAGTCTGTTCTAGAGTATGTTTAATAGTTAAGACTATAGTCTGCTCTATAGTCTAGACTATAGTCTGTTCTATAGTCATATATAGTTCTATAGTCCAGA